CTGGAGAAGGGAGCGCTCCGCGCCACCGTCATGGATGCCGTGGAGGCGGCCACCAAACGGGCCTGTGAGTTGGCCAAGGACTAATGGACGAGCCCCTTCTGGGACAGGAGGGGTGATGGAGACCAAAGCGAGCTCCTCTGAGGAGCTGGGGGATCCTGAGATCTTCAGGTGAGGGTGAGGGTGGGTGGTGGTGTGGGTATGTGTTACCTCTGCGGGGCTGAAACCAAATAAACGTGGCCAGAGCAATGGGAGGTGTGTGGCTTGTTGTGGTCCCTGTGGCCCTGAGGGGCTGTGGAAGCCACCACGGGGTCACTTCCACGGGGAGGTGACATCCATGATTTCCATGTTCACTGTGAGCGGTGCTGGCACCAAGGATGAAGCTGGTGTGGGATGTGCAGCACTGGGGAGAGACTTTTGGGAATGAGGTGATCCCAATTTAACCCTGCTGGGGCTGGGAGAATGGCTGCACCCCTGTGGTCAGAGCCACATCCACGAGGATGCTGCCCACATTCCAGAACTATGGGCAAGAGCTCAACCAGCCAAAAAATCTGCACCATGATCCCTCCCTGGCACCAGGGAATGGGATGGAAGCCCTGATCTGCTCCCATCTCCAGGAATTTCGAAGGGGTAAAAACTCAAACTTGCCCATCAGGAGAGGATCTGAGCCTTTGCCATGCCCTAATTAAGCTCTGCTTGCCTCTGATGCAATTAGAGATGATTTGGGAACTGCTTTGAGGATGAAAAGGTATTTTCTGGGCAAAGCATCACTGGTGGGAACATCTGGATGCTGAGCTTGACTTTGGATAAGGGCCTGGAGTGCCAGAACACAGGGAATGGCTTCCCACTGCCAGAGGACAGGGTTGGATGGGATATTGGGAAGGAATTCCTCCCTGGGAAGGTGGCGAGGGGCTGGGATGGAATTCCCAGAGAAGCTGTGGCCGCCCCATCCCTGGAAGTGTCCAAGGCCAGGCTGGACTGAGCTTGGACCAGCCTGGGACAGTGAAAGGTGTCCCTGACCACAGCAGAGGTTTGGAATTTGATGGCCTTGCAGGTCCCTTCCCACCCAAACCATTTCATAATTTTATATTCTCACCCCCCCAAACCAGTTCAAAACCTCCAGCCCAGCACCCTCTGCTGATCTGCGCAACATTTTTGTCACACAACTGAAAGTTCCTTTCATTCACAAACTCCTGTTTGAAATGAGCCACGTCCCGAGCTCCAGAATCTTTTCGTGGGGTGATTTTGGTGTAAAAGATGATAAACAGAAATTTTACATGATTACACCCCATTGGTGTGGAGAAAGCCACATTGAGAGGACACAACCCCATGAAGATCCCCCTGGTGCCACCCCAAATCCTTCTGGGATGGCTCCACGTGACAATTCACAGACAACAACCTCCACATGGGAATAAAAATCCATTTAATTTCCATAAACTCTGCAGCGAGGAGACAAAGAACCAACAAGTAAAAACCCCAACCTGCCCGCTGGCTTGGGGCACGGCAGCACTGAGGAGTTAATTTCATTTCCCTCTTCCAGTAATTCAGCTAAACACCCTAAAATTTCATCCAAATGCGGTCAGGAGCTGCTAAATTCCCATCAGATGCCTCCAATATTCCAAGGCAGTGCCAGGAGCCCAACCTCAACTCACCCAGATGTGTCCTCCAGACCTGGTCACCCCACAAACCCCATGAGGACCCCTCAACCCTCATCCCTGGAGCCTTCAGCTCCATGGGGATGCTTGGATGATGGCACCTGGATCAATAGGTTTGTATGGTCCAGGTGTTCCCAGCTGTGATGGGAATGATGGAGGTGCCTCTTTCTCATGGATGCCACCCAAGAGTCCCTTTCCCAATCCAGTGCCTGATGGAAATTCTCTTAAACCAGCCCCAAACCATCCTGGTGTAACAGGATTCCGTTTTGGCAGTGGGAAGGGTGTCACCAGCCTCTTCCAAGGTGGGATATTTCCCGTGCAGCACCTCAGGAATGGCCCATGTCCAGCTGGCTGTGCCCACCTCAACCCTGCTCTGGGATTTGGGGATTTTTCAGTGTAACATCCCCCATTATCCCATGGACACTGAGCAGGTCCTTCCGTCACTCTTCTCCCCATGGAATTGGGGGAACTGCGCAATTTTAGGGGGCATCCACCCCCCTTCTGGCAGTGCCAGGTACCAGGGGCCACAAGGGACGTAAAAAATAGCACCTCCTAAATAAATTTAGGTAAGGAACAACCCTGGAATTCGAGCTGTTGCACAAAAATCCCCTGAATTGTGACCCGCAGGCATCTGGGCTTCCTGATCCCCAGGGAATCCCGGTCACAGAGGGGCGGTGGCACCTCCACCACCATCCCCCTGGGACAACCGGGGTGTCCCCAGCTCTGTGGCCAACCAGGGGTGGTTGGTAGCCAAAAATCGGCAGCTGCCCCTGCCCTAGGACTGGGGGCTGCGGCCACGGCGCAGCCGCTGGGCCATGGAGATGAGGGAGCGGAGCTGCACCAGCCTCAGCGGCCCCACCTCCCGCGGGTCCTGTCCCTCCAGCCAGCGCAGCGCCGTCTCCAGACCCTGGATGGCTTCCCCAGCCGTGGGCAGCAAAGGATCTCCTCCTTCCCCACCCCTTCTGCCACCAGCTGCTTCCTCCTCATCATCCTCCTCGGCGCCTTCCTCCTCGCCACCATCGTCCTCCTCCGCACCCGGAGCTGCATCATCCAAGTGCAACCAGTCGGACACTTCCTCGGGAGCCAAGCACTTGAAGGCCAAGGCGGCCAGGTGGGTCAGGTCACTGAAGACCTTGCTGTCCCCTCCGCCTTCCTCCCCTCCGGGGGTGTCCCCGTGCTCTTCCTCGCCGGGCTGGGGCTCGAAGGCGGCGCGCAGCCCCAGCAGCCAGCACTTCTCGATGGATCCCGGCGGGATGAGATCCCAGGAGAGCCCAGCCAGGTACAACATGTCCTTGAGGAGGAAGGAGCGCACGAAATCCGCGGGGCTGCCGGGGCCGCCGCAGGACACGGCCAAGCGCAGCAATTCCCGCTTGTAGAGCTGCTTGAAGGCTGACACCACCCCTTGCTCCAGCGGCGCGGGGATTCGGCCTCCTGCTCCGGCCAAGCCGCTCCCTGAGGGACTCTTGGAGAGGAACAGCGCACGGATGGATCCATCCGGAGTCTGGAGCGGCGGAGAATCCTCAGTTCCCCCTCCAGAGCGGGACGGAGCGGAGCTGAGCAGCAGCACGGCCTTCTGCTGCAGGCAGCTCCGCCTCAGGTACCGCTTCACGCCCGGCACAAAGTCCTCAAAGAACCAAGCCCTCAGAAGCGCCGGCGCCAGCCGAGCCTCGGGGCTGTAGCGGTAGCAAGCCGGGAATTTCTCCTGGTTGTGATGCCGGAGACTGGCGGGATTGCGGAGACCCCCGACCACCAAAGGCTTGAGTTTGTGGGAGCCGGTCAAGTTGGCGGCCAGCAGCACCGTGACGCGCTCGCCGCGGGCAGGACGCCTCGCCGTGATTCCAGAACCGGGGAGAAGCTTCCAGAAGAGCCTGGTGATGTTTGCGTTGTAGATCTGCTCGTCCCCGTAGCCGCCGGCATCGGGCAGGACCTCGGCGCGGGTGGCCGGGGCGCGCTCGGGCTCGGCGGGGAGGCCGCCTTCGCCGTAGATGCGCTGGCTGGAGATGCCGTGGCGCTTCTGCCAGCGCCAGAACCAGCCGTGGCTCGCCTTGAAGGTGCACTCAGGCCCGTAGATCTGCCGGGCGAAGGCTTCCGCTTGTGCTTGGATGAGGGGTCCGGAGAGCGGCACGCCGTGCTGCCGCAGGGCGAGGAACCAGGCGTAGACGGCGCGGTCGATCTCCTCCTCGTTGGCCAAGCGCATCTTCTTGCGCTGGGTGCCCACCTCGCCGCCGAGCTGCTCCAGGAACCAGCGGAGCTTCGCCTCGTCCTTCAGCCACCCCCGGAGAGTGCCCCCCGGCACCCCGAAAGCGCGGCACACCGACGCCTGGCGCTCGCCCTTCTTCACCCTCTCGATGGCCTGGAGCTTGTCCTTGATGGAGTAGGCGCGGCGAAGCGACATCTTCACCGACACCCCCCCGGGTGATGCGCTGCTGCCTCCACCTCCTCCTGCCCGCCGCCCTCCCGCCATTCCCCCGCCCTCCTCCGGCTCCCCCCCGGGCATGGAACGACGCCCGCGTCCATGGGAATGGGGGGCGCGTTATAACCGGGGAGGAATGCGGGGATGGGGTGGGGGGGGCGCGGCGGCGCCTTTGTCTCCGCTCCGGTCCCCCGCATGCGCGCACCCCACCACAGCCACTAAGTCCCCCCTCCCCCTTTTCCTCGGCAAGTTGGATTCCTCCTCATATCTCCACCAGCGCCTGTGGGTTGTACCACTTTGCCAGAAGGGGGGAGAGCGCCACCCCGCTGCCCCCTCCCCTCAGGTCGCTTTCCCCCTTGAGCTGTTCTACTTGGCTTTCACGGGAGGGAGAAGAAGTGCGCGGAGTGAGACAATGGGCCGCACGCACAGCGTGGAGGCTCCTTCTCCCCGTAACGCCCCCCGTAAAATATAGGGGATCATCTTGGGGGAGGCAGGGAAGTAGCGTGGGGGAAGCAGCGAGGTGGCGCATCCCCGTTTTCGCAGAGTGGTACAACCCACGGGCGCTAGCAGAGCTACGAGGACGAATCCAACATCGCAAAGAAAAGGGGGGGCGGCGCGTCCTAATAGTTACAGAAGGGTGGTTCGCGCATCCCGCTTCCTCCCCACCGTGATGTTCCACATGTCTCTTTTATTGTGGGGGGAACAAGCCCCGCTCTGTGCGTGTCACACGTTGTCTACCCGCAGTGCACCCCCTTCGCCACCTCCCCGCTCGCCACGTGTGGTACGCGCCTCCCCCATAACCCTCCGCGCGGCGCACGCCGCCCCTCTCTATCCCGGCGGCGGCCAAAGGGAGCGGAGGGCCCTGAAGGGGTCAAAGCTGTTGGTGAGTCCTGGTTTGCAGCCCCTTCCAGCCCCTAGGAAGCCTTATACCCCCTGTTAGGGTCCTTTATCCCCCTCTCTGAGTATCGGTGGGGGGAGTTTCGGGGGTCTTTGGAGCGTCCTTTATCCCTCTAGGGCGTGAGGTGGGGGGGCCCCTCATGATATATGGGGGGAAGGGGCTTAGGGGGCCCTTTAGGGTGTGTAAGGTTCCTTTATCGTCTTAGAATCCCCAGAAAGGAGGTTGTGGTCACCCCTTTTGTTCTCTTCAGGGCACTTTTCCTGCGGAAAGAGGGATTTGGGGGTCTCCTCATAGGGAATGGGGCTC